AGGGGTCAAAAACAAGGGTGATGTCATGATAGTGGTCTACTGTAGACCACCTAACCAGGAAGAAGAGGTGGATGAGGCTTTTTTTAAACAACTAACAAAATTATTCAAAGCACATGATTTGGTGGTGATGGGGGACTTCAACTATCCAGACATCTGTTGAGAAAATAACAAAGCAGGGCACAGATTATCCAACAAGTTCTTGGAATGTATTGGAGACTTTTTTTATTTCAGAAGGTGGAGAAAGCTACTAGGGGAGAGGCTGTTCTAGATTTGATTTTGATAAATAGGGAGGAGCTGGTTGAGAATTTGGAAGTGGAAGGCAGCTTGGATGAAAGTGATCATGAGATGGTAGAGTTCATGATTCTAAGGAATGGTAGGAGGGAGTACAGCACAATAAAGATAATGGATTTCAACAACGTAGACTTTAGCATACTCAGAGAGCTGGTACGTAAGATCCCATGGGAAGCAAAGTGAAAAACAGTTCAGAAGAGTTGTCAGTTTTTCAAAGAGACATTATTAAGGGCACAAGAACAAACGATCCAACTGCATAGGAAGGCTAGGAAGTATAGCAAGAGACCACCCTGACTTATGCAGGAGAACTTTAATGATCTAAAATGCAAAATAGAGTCCTACAAAAAAAATTGAAACTAGGTCAAATTACAAAGGATGACTATAAACAAATAACACAGTATGTAGGGACAAAATTAGAAAGGCCAAGGTACAAAATTATATTAAACTAGCTAGAGACATAAAGGGTAACAAGAAAACATTCTACAAATACATTAGAAATGTAAGCAGGCGTGGACTCGCCCCTGCAGCGCCTCCTGCTGGTCGTCTTGGGAATTAGCTCACCAGCCTCCGGAGCGCCCTCTGCAGGCCAGGTGTCCCACCTGTCTTTGGCCCTCATGTCCCTCCCGGACCCCAGTGCCCTTGGCTTAGGTGCTGCCCCCCCTGGCAGTACCCCACTCTCTCTCTGGGTCTCCCCACCCAGGGGAACTCCCACCCCCTATTCCAATTTCACCTCAGTTGTGGCTACTGCCAGTCACCATCTAGCCCCCACGCCCTGGGGCAGACTGCAGTCTATCAGCCAATCATCACCGGCAACAAGGGGTTTGGACTGGCTGCCTTTACCCACCCTCTGGCTGCCCCTGTGCAACCCCAATACCTATTTGGGCCTAGGACCAGGCCCTGCAGCCTGGGGAGTTGCTGGCCTAGGGCTTCCCAGCCCTCAAGGCCTTCCCCAGCCCTGCCTTACTCTAGGTCCCCAGGTGAGCTCCCTGCAGCCAGGCCTGTTTCTCTCTCCTGTCCTCTCTCTCCTCAACTCTACCTACCCTGGCCTTCTTATAAAGCTGAGTGGCTCAGTTTGGGGTGTGGCCCCAGCTGCAGCCACTTCCCCAATCAGCCAGGGTTTTGCCCCTTTACACAGCCCCAGCCCTCTGAAGGGCTTTTCCAACCCCTTCAGGGCTGGAGAGGGCGTTCACCCCGCTACAAGAAGCAAAAGGAAAACCAAGGACCTGGGTTGGCCTGTTACTCAGTAGGGAAAAACAATAACAGAAAATGTGGAAATGGCATATGTGCTAAATGACTTTTTTGTTTAAATTTTCACCAAAATATTTAGTGGCAATTGGACTTGTAACTTAATGAATGCCAGTGAAAATGAAGTAGGATCAGAGGCTAAATTAGGGAAAGAACAAGTTAAAAATTATTTAGATAAGTTAGATGTCTTCAAGTCACCTGGGCCTGATGAAATACTTCCTAAAGTACTCAGGAGGCTGACTGAGGAGATATCTGAGCCAATAGAGATTATCTTTGAAAAGTCATGGAAAATGGGAGAGATTCCAGAGGACTGGAAAAGGGAAAATATAGTGCCAATCTATAGAAAGGGGAATAAGGACAACCCAGGGAATTACAACCAGTCAGTTTAACTTCAGTACCAGGAAAGACAATGGAACAAATAATTAAACAATCAGTTTGCAAACACCTATAAGATAACACAGCTCTACAGCCAAAATGCTTCTGAAATAAATGTAGTCAAAGTTTACTAATTCTGGGTCACTGAGAACGAAAATGATGCTTAAAATTGTTGATTGGCTCTAGTTTTCAAGATATGCTATTGGGTCAGTATATATGACCCTTGACTTGGGAATGGCGGAGGATAAGTGAGTTATAAAGGGAAGGGATCTCAATTTAAACCAGAAATGACTAAAATACATCTTTGACTGGATCTATGAATAAATCTATGACTGGGTTTGGACAGTACTTGCTTTTTAGGCAAAACAATAGAATGATGCAATCTGAAGCTGGTATTAGCAATCATATATAGATATGAATTGCATCATGTT